CTCAGGGTCCTGGGATTGAGCCCCGCATCGGGCTCTCTGCTCAGCGGGGAACCTGCTTCCTCCTCTCTATCTCTCTGCCTGCCTCTCTGCTTACTTGTAATCTTTGTCTGTCAAATATATAAACAAAATCTTTAAATAAATAAACAAACAGATAAATAAATTTTAAAAAAAGATTTAGGGGAAGGTGGGTTGGATGTGGGTCAGTGCCCTTAGCAAATAAAGCAATCTTTCTGAACCTCAGCATTTCCATCTGTAAATGGGAGGAGTGGACTAGAGCAGAGATTGTCCGTCTGTCTGTGGATTCCCTGCACTGACATGAAATGTACCTTGGGCTTAGCTTTCATACAGATCTTAAGGATCTTTATTGACCCACAGAAGAACCACTAGATTAGAATATCTTGAGTTCTTACCTAGAAGTAGCATCTCCTATGACAGGACTTGGGGAGTAGGTTGGCCTGGGAATGTGATGACACGGAGCCGACTAGGTCTGTTTTGTTTTTTGTTTTTTGTTTCGTTTTTTAAATTTTATTTTAAGTAGGCCCCAGTGCGGGGCTTGAACTCAGGACCCTGAGATCAAGGTGCTTTGGGCTGGTTTGTTTTGATGTGGGAGGTTTGAACCTGCATTTTCATCCCTTGGGAACTTATATGACCCTCCTGCTCTGCAGATGATGGTGTGAGCATCCCTGGGGAGTACACCTCCTTTCTGGCTCCCATCTCCTCCTCCAAGCTGTACAATGAGGTCCGAGCCTGTCGGGAAAAGGACCGAGACCCTGAGGTAAAAAGCCACTCTCTTCTGGAGAGCTCTGTTTTCTTTAGTCCTCTTTTTTTTTTTTTCTTCCCTATATTAACATCAACTATTTTCTTCCACTGGAGAAGGTGAAGAGGTGAAGGAGATGGGGATGTGGGAGAGTGGTTGAAGTGAAAATGTTTTTATCTTTTTCTGTGTCCGGGAGGCTCAGGCTTCTTTCCCTGGGAGAGTGGTGTGTCTTGCCTATCTGCTCTACCTCTTGCTCGGTCTCTCGGGACAGGCCCAATTTGAGATGCCTTACGTGGTGCGGCTACACAACTTCCACCAGCTGTCTGCGCCCCAGCCCTGTTTCACCTTCAGCCATCCCAACAGAGGTGGGTTCCTTTGTGACTGTCCTCTGACTAAATGGGTAAGAGCTTACCTTCTGGTTTCTTGCTATCCCGGGTCTGCTCTCTCTAAGCTTCCCATGTTCTTGCTATTACTTTACCAAGTTATCTAGAACTTCTGGTCCCTTGTCATCCACACAACTCTTCCCTAACAGATCCTATGATTGACAACAACCGCTACTGCACCTTGGAGTTTCCTGTGGAGGTGAACACAGTACTTCATGGTTTTGCAGGCTACTTTGAGACTGTGCTTTATCAGGACATCACCCTGAGTGAGTGTCTGGGGGTAGTGGATGGCAGGGTATGAGTATGTTACCTGGGCAGCTTATGTACATGCTTCACTTAGAGTCACAGGGAGCCCAGGACATCTGTGAATGTGTGTCTTTGATTACTTATTTCTCTGTTCACAAAAGACACTCCCCTCAATCCAGGCAAAAAGTAGACTCACAGAGACCACAATTTTTTCATTTCTTTTTCACATAGGTATCCGTCCAGAGACTCATTCTCCTGGGATGTTCTCATGGTTTCCCATCCTTTTCCCCATTAAGGTAGGAATCACCTTCTACACTCAGTGGGTTAAGGAAGTAACTTTTGCCATCGGTATTCTGCCCCTTCCCTACTCTCAGAATGATGCTTGACTGTGACCCATGTTCTGCTGCTCCCACATGCTCCTGGAGCCCTGTTGTAGGTCTTGAGTTATCTTCAGTGCCTTCTACTTGGCTTCCCCACATCTCCTCTGTCTACTCTTCTGTCTAGTCTCTACCTTTTTTTTTTTTTTTTAAAGATTTTATTTATTTATTTGACAGAGATCACAAGTAGGCAGAGAGGCAGGCAGAGAGAGAGGAGGAAGCAGGCTCCCTGCCGAGCAGAGAGCCCGATATGGGGCTCGATCCCAAGACCCTGGGATCATGACCTGAGCCGAAGGCAGAGGCTTTAACCCACTGAGCCACCCAGGCGCCCCTGTCTAGTCTCTACCTTAAGCAAGAATCATCTTTTAAAAACCCAGATCTGATCATGTCTCTGTCCTCCTTAAAACCCTTCAACAACTTCGGGCTGCCTGGGTGGTGCAGTTAAGTGTCTGACTCTTGCTTTCGGCTCAGGTTGTGATTTTGGGATCCTGAGGTTGAGCCCAGCATGGGTGTTGGGCTCCACACTAAGCATGGATTCTACTTGGGATTCTTTCTCCCTCTCCCTACCCCTCTGCTTGTGCACACAAGCTCTCTTTCTCTCAAATAAATAAATACATCTTAAAAAAACAAAAACAAAAACAAAACCCAACCCTTCAAATGACTTCCTACTGCCCTCAGGATAAAGATTTAACATTGTAAGACTTGGTATGATCTAGTTTTAGGTGGTTTTTTCAGCTGCTGTCCCCTTGATTATATTGCGTCAGCCCTATGGATCTTCTTTTTTTTTTTTTTAGCTGAAATATAATTAACAGGATTACATTAGTTTCAGATGTACAACATAATGATTCAACAAATCTGTACATTACTCAGGGCTCATCATGATTCTAATACCCTTTTTTCCTGCTTCAGGCATTCACACCTTTCTTCTTTCTGGAAAGTTCTTTGTTTACCTTTTCACCCAGTGCACTTATCTTCCAGGTCTCCTTAAACATTCCTCTTGTCCAATAACTTTCCGGGACCACCGGGACTAGGTGCGCGCTCCCTCTCCTAGGTGCTCTTGTAGCGCATGTTCTCTGCATGTTCACGGCACTCATCACACTTTGGATGATCTGTTCAGTGTCTGATGGTTCAGTTCTGACTAGTCATTCTGAAAAACTTCAAATAAACTTGATGAGGGTTGGAATGTCACATTTTATCCTTTTCTCTCCATGCTCAGCTCAGCAGTACATTGCCACAGAGAGTTCATAAGCTCTACTCTGAACCTCCCTGTCTTTCTTCTTGCAGCAGCCCATTACGGTACGTGAAGGCCAGACCATCTGCGTGCGTTTTTGGCGATGCAGCAATTCCAAGAAGGTGTGGTATGAGTGGGCTGTGACAGCACCAGTCTGTTCTGCTATTCACAATCCCACAGGCCGCTCATATACCATTGGCCTCTAGCCCTGCTGCAAGTGTTCCAAAGCCTTGGAAGTAGCTTCAAGTTCTGCTCCTGTGGCACAGAAAGTACAGTACATCTGTCCATCAGAGCGGAGCATTTCGGTCTGCTTTCCTGCCTTCCATCAAGGTGGGCAAAGGATGAGAATTAATTGCAGGGCTCAAGCCACCAATCTGAAGACTTCAGGCGAGGGTGGGAGGAATTAGTGCTGGATCTGAAGCTGTTCCAACAGGTGCTGTGCCTCAAGTGCTCCCTGGAATAGCCCTGAGAATGTGCAGATTGAACACATTTTCAGCCCTTTCCCTGCCCATCTCTGTTCCTGTTATGATGGTTTTGTGTGGGAGGAAATACAAATAAAGTGAAGTTACAGCTTTTCCTGCTCCAGCCCTGCTGCCCTGTGCCTCTGCTTTCCCATACTCTACTTAAACCTATGTGTTTTCAAATCTATGCCTTTATCCAAGACCCAAAGGGCCCTCACTTTGTTTCCTATTTAGGAATTTTATTGGTCACTCTTGGGACTCCTGGGTGTAGGTTTTTCTGACCACCTGCAAGGAGGTGTTGTCCATTTAGATTTGTGATTAGGCTTTTCTCTGGGGAGAAGAGATTGCCCCAGTGGAGAAAGATGGGAGTAGTGAGTGAAGCCAGCTCCCCTTCCACTTTGCTGAGCCATTGTACTGATAGCTACCTCTTGGGAGGGAAGCTGGAAACCATGCAGGTATCACCAGCAAGAAGCCACCTGTTTTGTTTGAATAAAGTCACATGGTTAGGGGCACCTGGGTGGCTCAGTGGGTTAAAGCCTCTGCCTTTGGCTCAGGTCATGATCTCAGGGTCCTGGGATCGAGCCCCACATCAGGCTCTCTGCTCAGCGGGGAGCCTGCTTCCCTCTCTCTCTCTGCCTCTCTGCCTACTTGTGATCTCTCTCTCTCTGTCAAATTAAAAAAAAAAAAAAGTCACATGGTTAGAGTTCGAAGTCATGAGTCCTATTTCCATTTTAAGGAATTTGAAACTGACACAAAAATGTCATGTTAGTATTCAGATCTAGACTGGAACACAGATCCCTGGCTCTCTCGATGTTCTAACCAGCTACGTTTCTGGCAGCTAATAGATGGGAAAACTAAAGTATGGGGATTCTGGAAGCCGTTGGAACTTGAGAGTGGACATCAGTTTCTTCTCTTTCTGGGTAGTGGGCTGAGTATTGCTGCACCCAAAGAGTCACCGAAGAAACTTCCAACTTTACTTTTGCAATGGGAGGTGTGTGGCTGTGGAACCAGGCAATAACCATTAGACAGCGTGCGAAATATGTGGCAAGACTTGTGTTTCCTGGAACCCAAGCACAGAGGGCAGGAGGAGATAGGAGGGTTGTGTAGACAGCCCGCTCAGAATGGGGATGTCTGGTCCAGCCTCCTTCCTGACAGGAGACAAATGCAGCTGCTTATCCCGAAGCTGTAGCCGCTAAGCAGGACCCGTGACTCTTAGGATATCAGGAGCGGTGTGTAGCACAGAAGTCACTTGTACCTCCTCGTTGGCTCCGCCCACGGCGGTGGCCTAGACACCTGGAGCCAGAAGTGGGGCAGGAGAGTCCTCGCTGGTTCTTTGCCCGCGTTCTCCGCCTTCCGCCTGTCATCTAACCAATGAGAATGATGGGCGGCTGCCTTAGGACGTTTCCACTCCCGGAGAGGTTAGCCAATCCGTGGGAACTTGGTGGTTGCTAAGAAACATTTGAGTTTGGCTCCACCCATGCTAGGGTTTCGGCCAATGAAAATCTGTACTTTGGACTGTTGCCGCGAAACCAGTGTGATTAGTTCCACCACCTGAGTGTTTCGGCGCCTGCGCAGATTGGGGAAAGTTCTGGAAGACGGCAGAGCTGCCGCCATTTTGCGGGAAGACGAGTGGCTCTGACGGCAGTGCTTGTTTTACTGCTGAGACTCTGGAAAACAGCCGTGCTTCGAGCCCCCAACACACCCAAAGGGACGGCGGAAACCGGGACCCCCCCTGTGGGGACCCGGAACTGGTGAGAAACCCCGAAACCCGGTCCTCCCGCGACGTCACCTATGCGTGACGTTGTCGCACGGCGCCTCCCCCTGACGTCACAGGCAGAAAATGGCGTCAAGAGCAGAACCAGGCAAACTTTTAAGACAATATTGTTGTTTACTTTGGTCTGGAAGTGTACTCTCCCTTAATGTAGACCGCTGGCATGACTTTAGGGATCGGCACTCTTCGTTGCTCTGTCTCTTAAAGATGAAGATGCTGTCTCAAGGATCCTAGTGACCGATCTCTTTCCAGGTCCCCGAAGCCCTGACGTTTAGGGTCGCCCGTACTGGGGCGGGGATGGGGGTGAGCATCGATTCAGCCCGTTATGAGAGGGCTCGCAGGATGGGATTTCAGCACTTAGTGCCAGCACTCCGAGAGAGGTTAGGGAACTGAGACTTATTTCTCAGTCGTTAGGCTCTGGAAGACTCCTGTTCATTGTGTTGGCCTCTGAGGTTTTCCCTGGGTTTTTTTTGTTTTGTTTTGGTTTTGTTTTGTTTTGTTTTGTTTTGTTTTTTTGAGCACACGTTCCGTGGCGGTACAGGAGTATAGTGAGGCCACATATGAGGTTTTAGCATTGGGACACTGGCCCTCGCAGGGACAATGCGAATCGGTTACTTACAGGACCATTTTTTTAAAGTGTAGCCTTGGCTTATTGCACAGCGTGGGAATGTATTTTACCTTTCTCATTATTCCTGTTCTTGATTAAATTGCCTTCAGTTTGAAGGTGTTTTTGCCCAGCTCTGTGACTGGACCCATTACCACATGGGTCTCCGCATGTGGTGAATTTTGCCTGAACTGAGCCGACAGCGGTTCTTGACTCTCCTTTGTCCCTTCAGCAGTGAGGCCTAAGCGCTTGTTGGGGTTCTTGACTGTTGTGACAAAGTCCAGACACTTGCATGCACCCCTAATGCAGTTTTTGGAGCAGGGATGGAAGAAGGCTCTATGGTTTTTTAGTGGATAGGGTTGATGGACTTTGACCTTAATTTAGGACATGGGAAGAGTGAAAACTACCAACCTGAAAATGCAGTGTGTGAGACTTTACTGCTTGTAGGACACCTGAAGAGATACACCAAACAGAGTGAGGTTTCAAGTTTCAAAATATGCTTATGTTCTGTATGTCTGTGCTTAAATAGATTTCATTCATTTCTGAGTACCTGTGGGAAAACTTTACTTCATAGGTGGTGGCTCATTTGTCAACTTGAGTGAAAGTTTTTGTGCATGTGTTGAATTACTCCTACTCTGTACTAGCAGTCAACAAAGAGCAGTTGTTGAAATCAGAAGCATTTCATTGGGGAGGAAAAGCAGATTTAAAAAAATAAAGAGCTGTATGACATTTAGAAAACTTGTATAGACTTGGCAGGGAAAAATGACTGGAAAGAACAGAAATGATAGATTGGAACGTTTTATTTTTAAGAAGCAGTTTTCCTCAGTCGGTCAAACAGTATGTGTTACAATGAGCTTGGTTCCTGATATTTTGAAGTTTGAAGTATATGCTGCTTCCTATCTAGAAGCCACACAGTAAGGTGTGACTAATGGGACTAATGCTTTTGATAAACCTTTTAGAATAGTAATTCCTTAGATGAGCGCATATTTTAAAGGAGACATCTTGGGGGGCACCTGAGTCGGCTTAAGCCTCAGTCAGTTAAGCAGCTGCCTTCAGCTCACATCATGGTCCTGGGGTCTTGGGATCGAGTTCTGCAAGTGGGGAGTCTGCTTCCCCCTCTCCCTCTGTCTCCCAGCTTGTGCTCTCACTCTTTCTCTCTCTGTCAAATAAATAAAAATCTTTGAAAAATGAAAATAAAAAATAAAACATCTTGGGGTGCGTAGCTGGCTTAGTGGGTAGAGCATGAGACTCTTGATCTCAGGGGTTGTTAAATTCGAGTACTACAGAGGAGGTAGAGATTACTTAAAAACAAAATCTTAAAAAAAAACAAAAACTAGATCATGCTGCGTGCTCTTCTTTTTAAAATTTCTTTTAAGGCTGAGGTATAAAGTACAAGAGAGAGACTTATAAAGTACAGGAGGGAGATAGAATGGATAAGACATTAGAGTTTGGGTCAGGAGACCTTAATCAAGAGTCAGCTCCTCCATTTAAGTTTTGTGATTCTGGGCTGTTGACAGAACCTCAGTTTTTTCATTGTGCATTGGACCTGATAGCTGCTTATAGCATATATTACCTTCGATTGTTAAATGAATGTACTGTGTCACTGGGGCTCTTGGGTGGCTCAGTTGTTGAGCATCTGCCTTTGTTTGGCTCACGTCATGATCCCAGGGTTCTGGGATCAAGCCTCAAATCAGGCTCCCTGCTCAGTGGGAGGCCTATTTCTCCCCATCCCCCTGCTTGTGTTCCCTCTTTCGCTGTTTGTCAAATAAATAAAACTTTATTTAAAATTTTTTTTTGGAAATATATAGGATCTTTATTTTTATTTTTTTAAGATTTTATTCATTTATTTGACAGAGAGACACAGCGAGAGAGGGAACACAAGCAGGGGAAGCGGGAGAGGGAGAAGCAGGCTTCCCACCAGGCAGGGAGCTGGATGCGGGGCTGGATCCCAGGACTCCAGAATCAGGACCTGAGCCGAAGGCAGACACCCAATGACTAAGCCATGCAGGCGTCCCTAAAAAAAATTTGTTAAAAGTGTACAATGTTATTATAATAAGAGATTGAGTTTACTGTTTTTTTATTTTAAGATTTTATTTTTAAGTAATTTGTACACTCAACATGGGGTTGGAAGGCACAACCCTGAGATCAAGAGTTGCAAGCTCCACCAACTGAGGCAGCCAGGCGCCCCAAGTTCACTGGTTCTTAGACACACCTATTTGATTTTGATTTGATTTCCTTTTTTTTTTTTAAGAGTTTATTTATTTACTTGACAGAGATCACAGGTAGGCAGAGAGAGAGAAGGAAGCAGGTTCCCCACTGAGCAGAGAGCCCGATGCGGGGCCCGATCCCAGGACCCTGAGATCATGACCTGAGCTGAAGGCAAAGGCTTTAACCCACTGAGCCACCCAGGCGCCCCTTGATTTCCATTTTAAGGCTTAAATTTGATTCCAGTTAATTTTTGTTTGGCTCTTTCCAAGAGTCTTGTCTCTGTAACAGGCTTAGTACAGTGCCTAGGAATGTTAGGTACCATAGGAGTGATTAGTCATATTTTTATATTACTTATTTTGTATTAGTTATTACTTTTATGCTCCTGCTTTACTCTTAAATCACCAAATCTGAGGGCAGCATCATTGGATGATACATTAGCTGCTTTGAAGAGGAAAAAGCTCAGTTGCCTGGGTGGCTCAGTCGTTGAGCATCTGGCTTCCGCTCATTTATTTGACAGAGAGACAGAGCAAGTGAGGGAACACAAGCAGGGGGGGTGGGATAGGGAGAAGCAGGCTTCCCGGAGAGCAGGGAGCCTGACTGACCTGGGGATCCCTGGGATCCCAGTCCCTGGGATCATGACCTGAGCCAAAGACAGATGCTCAACGACTGAGCCACCCAGGTGCCCCAATAAATAAAATCTTTAAAAAAAAAAAAAAAAAAAAGGATAGGGCACCTGAGTGGCTCAGTGGGTTAAAGCCTCTGCCTTTGGCTCAGGTCATGATCTCAGGGTCCTGGGATTGAGCCCCACATTGGGCTCTCTGCTTGGCGGGGAGTCTGCTTCCCCCTCTCTCTCTGCCTCCCTCTCTGCCTACTTGTGATCTCTGTCAAATAAATAAAATCTTTAAAAAATTAAAAAAAAAAAAAAGGACAAAGCTCTTGTGGATATGGAAAGTCTGATTATGATTAACCTCCTTCCACAGAAGTTTTTCAGATTAGTTGGGAGTTTTTTTGGTTTTTGGTTTTTAGTCAGCTTTATTGAGGTATAGTTGACATAAAGTAAAGCTGTACACATTAAGGTACAAAGTTTGATGGGTTTTGATGTTTAAACACCCATGAAACCATCACCGTTAAAAGTTTCTTCTGCTCTTTTGTAATCCTTTCTTCCTAGCCCCTCTCCACCTCCTGCTATCCCTAGGCAACCACTGATCTGCTTTCTGCCAGTACAGGTTAGTTTACATTTCCTAGAATTTTTTCCTTTAAATGGAAGCACACTGTATACTTTTGTCTTTTTTCTTTCACTCAGCATAATTATTTTGAGATTCGTGCATGTTTTGTATATTGATAATTCCAGACCAATATTTTTAAATTATTTATCCTATTGATCTTGTTTGATATTTTGTTTTTCTTTTTTCTAATTTTTTTTTTAATATTGTACTTATGTATTTGACAGAGAGAGCTTGAGTGCACGCACAAGCAGGGGGAGCAGCAGGCAGAGGGGGAAGGAGAAGCAGGCTTCCTGCTGAACAGTGAGACAAGCAGGGGCTCAGTCCCACGACCCTGGAATCATAACCTGAGCTGAAGGCAGATGCTTAACTGACTGAGCCATCCAGGCATCCCTGATATCATCATCTTTTTTTTGGTCTGGCCTTTGGTGGACAGACTTGGGAAAGATGATTGCTAGGTGTGAAAGCTTGGAGGAGGCAGGAAGTATTACCCTTCCTGCCTAGACAGGCTTCAGGGTGAAATTGTTGAAGGTGGTCTTAATCATTATCTTTCGGAGTTAGCTGAATTCTAGTTGGTATTATATGGGAAATGCTTAGTGCTGAGTCTTCTAATGTTTTGATGTTTATGTGGAGGATGTGGAGAAGAGCTTAGGCCCGATTTGCTTTCTGGTGTTATTTTGTCTTGTTCCTGATTTTTAGTCTTACATCCTTTTCTTTTTATTGGAAATACATGTTTATTTCTATGATTTAAGCTTAAACCAGTTATTAACACAGAATTTTGAACTATAGAATGGCGGTCTAGTCCATTGTCAAATGAATAATAATTTTGAATGCCAACACTTTTCTCTTCACAGGACAGAGTGTGTATTATATTTTGTTTCTTTTTTTTTTTTTTTTTTTTTTAGTTTTTTAAAAGATTTTATTTATTTATTCGGCAGAGAGATCACAGGTAGGCAGGGAGGCAGGCAGAGAGAGAGGGGGAAGCAGGCTCCCTGCTGAGCAGAGAGCCCATTGTGGGGCTCGATCCCGGGACCCTGAGATCATGACCTGAGCTGAAGGCAGAGGCTTAACCCACTGAGCCACCCAGGTGCCCCTATATTTTGTTTCTATCTAGATATTTATTTTCCTTCTAGACACTTGACTTTTTAAAAGCTACAGAGTGAAACTAGTTCAGATTTAAAATGTGCAAAAATAAACCTAGAGTAAGCCACAGCCAGGAAGATCCCTTTGGAATTCAAGAAACAGAAGTCTGTGTCTTGGAGGAGGAAGGGAATGTGGGGTGCCAGCAGGGATAGAAAAATATGAGGTTCTTACGTATCCATGTCCTCTCCTCAGATCTGCTACTATGGCATCCGATGACTTTGATATAGTGATTGAGGCCATGCTGGAGGCGCCCTATAAAAAAGAGGAGGTAATATTCTCCATCTCACTCCTGGAATTGGGTTGGTAAGAAGAAGCAGTTATAGATCATAAGTTTCAACACTTTGTAAATCCTCTTTCCCGGCATGTTTCCTGTGTATCGTGGCTAGTCATAAAAGTCATATTTTTTTAGTAAGCGCCACTCCAGCTTCTGTACTCAAAGGCATGCTGGCAGAGAGGGTCCCAAAGCAGGGGAGAGGGCTGGGAGGAGGTTGGGGTAGAACGTGCTGGGAATAAGTGCTTTGCTCTTAGCTCTCAATGACAGAGTAGAAAGTCAGCGTATCTCAGATGTAAATAATTTCTCACTCTTTTGGGAAATAGATTGTCAGTGCAACAAATGTCAAGTAGCTAAAGTTTTGACATTATAATCTGTCACTCTGATCTCTTCTTTTTGGGTGGTTTCCTTCCTTCTTCTCTTACTCCCTTTGTCAGGAGATCCAGGTACTCACAAACTGGCCAGATAATTGTGAGCTTTGATTTCATAAGCTTTCTTCTCTGTCCACTTTTGTTCTTCTCTTGCCCAATGGAATGTGTGTGTCTACCACCTTGTATCTGGTGACATTTTTCCTGGCAAACCCCTCAGGAGGAACAGCAAAGGAAAGATGTTAAAAAAGATGGCCCTAGCACCACCAGCATGAGCAGTACCGGCACCAGTGGCACCAGTGGGAGCAGCGCCGGTGGGGAGGCGAGCAAGTAAGTGTGGCATGAGGAAGCAGCTGCGTCTGTCATTGGAGAAACAGCCAGAATGGGGAGGTGGATTTTTAGTGATGCAGATTTTTAGTGGTGGCTCCGCTGGGTCCTGGGAATCACAGTGACTTGGTTTAATGATCTTCTCCTCTTCATATTCCAGCATAGGCTTGTGGCTCTGTTCTAGCATCTTTCTGTTTCAGTTGAAGAAAACAGCCAGGGACCCCTGATTTGGAAACAGCAGCTTTTGCTGCGCTTTGGGGGGAAATGGCCACTTCAGATGCCTGACAGCATTCAGGGCTGTGTGCAAGTTGGTGTTGCTGTGAACTACTGCCAGGTCACCTGGGGCTCTTTGGTCTTTTATCGCTGTTCTACCCTGGCCTTTCTGTCACTCCTTTTCCTTGGGGGAAAGGAGAAAACCTTCTTGATAATGAGAATTTATCCCCTCCTTTACAGGAAGAAGAGGAGTCGGAGCCATAGTAAAAGCAGGGATAGAAAGCGCAGGTCAGTTGTTCTGGGGGCTTTTGTGTTTTGAGAAGTCTTCTGAATGGGAAGATAGCAGGGAGAGCTATCCTCAGAGGCCAGAAGAGGCCAGAGTGCCCTTTAGCAAACTCAGTAGTGCCTCCCCCTGTAGTCGCAGTCGGGACCGGGACCGGCACAGGCGGAGGAGCAGTCGGAGCCGAAGTCGAGACCGGCAGCGGCGCCACCGCAGCCGGAGCTGGGACCGGCGGCACAGCAGTGAGTCCCGCAGTCGTGACTGGCGGCGTGAGGACCGTGTGCGCTACAGGAGCCCGCCACTTGCCACTGGGTATCGCCTCTTGCTCATACGATGGCGTTTGTGTTGGAGTCTGGGTAGGCCCTGTGTGCTGTGGTTCCTGCCTGCGGGTGCTCGCAACCCACTGTGGCGGGCAGGAGGCCCCAGGACCAGAAGGGTGGTGTTGACAATTCCCATGTGATGAGGTGCTGGAATCTAGCTTTCTCGTGCTGGAAGTCCAGGCATTGGACTGATGTGGGTGAAATCGGATGACACGATTTTCCATTTGTCGTTGTCTGTTCCACAGGCGCAGGTATGCACACAGTAAGAGTCCTCATTTCAGAGAAAAGAGCCCGGTCAGGTGAGTTGATAGTGGACGGTCTTCCAGGGACTGTGAGGTCTGACTAGAAAGCCGCTTGAGCCGGAGCCCAGGAATGCGTGGTACTTGAGGGGAGCTGGAGAGCAGTAACTGTGTATCAAGAGCGGGTGTCTCACCGAATTGCACTCGCTCTTCAGGGAGCCCATTGATAATCTGAGTCCCGAGGAGCGTGATGCCCGCACTGTTTTCTGTATGCAGTTAGCTGCCCGTATTCGGCCTCGGGACCTGGAGGACTTTTTCTCTGCTGTTGGCAAGGTAACCCTCCCCCACCCTTACCTGTCTTCCCTGTATAGCTGTCTTCTGTCTATCCTCTTTTATGCCCAACTCAGAATTTTCTCCTTGCTCTGGATAGGTTCGTGACGTCCGAATCATCTCTGATCGGAACTCCCGTCGTTCTAAGGGCATCGCCTATGTGGAGTTTTGTGAAATCCAGTCCGTGCCGCTGGCCATTGGGCTGACCGGGCAGCGGCTGCTTGGAGTGCCCATCATTGTCCAGGCTTCACAGGTGAGCGAGCTGTGAAGCTGACAGGAGAAAATGGGTTTGGAGGGAGGAGGTTTGGGATGCAAGCTATGGGTTCCTTCTCGCCTAGGCTGAGAAAAACCGACTGGCAGCCATGGCCAACAACCTGCAGAAGGGCAGCAGCGGGCCAATGCGCCTCTATGTGGGCTCCTTGCACTTCAACATCACGGAGGACATGCTTCGGGGCATCTTTGAGCCGTTCGGCAAGGTGAGTAGAAAGTGATGGAAACCTCTGAAGGGAATTGGGAAAAGCGGGGAGGGTAAGCCTGCCTCTTTGTTCTGTCTGACCACAATTGGCCCACCGCACCTGCCAGAATGTGCAGATTGTCCGTGCCATCGAAGTGAGGCTCCATCTGTGCAGTCAGAGTGCTCGGTGCGCACGTGAGTCCAGCACCGGGAGCTCAGATAACGGGGTCCAGATTCAGTAAGATGAGCAGGGAGAGGTGTTACAGAAAGAGGTGGCCTTTGTCTCTTTTTAAAGTGATTTGGAGAGTTAGAACTAGTTGGCTCCAAAGTTAGAGATAGTTAGAACTGGCAGGAAAGATCACAGGTGCGGGTACCCCAAAACTGCTAATAATTTGTCCTCCTCTTATAGATTGATAATATTGTCTTGATGAAGGATTCAGATACAGGCCGTTCTAAAGGTTATGGTTTCATTACGGTGAGTCTCTGGTCTTTAACTTCGGAATTTCATTGTGGTTTGTCCACTTGTCTGATTTGCAGCTTAGCTTCGTCCTCCTCCTTTAGGAACTGTCTAAATGACCCATAAGCCCCGGTGCCTGAAGCCTGGACTAGCCTTCTGCCCCTTGAGATGAGTGCATTGCTTGAGATCTTGGCTTTGCTCCTGCACACTGTCAGTGGCCCTGGTGTGGGTGTGTCCAGGCGTTCAACCAGCCTCCCTCGTGCCGCATCTTGCTCTTTGGGTAATAGAAGTGACTTCAGGCTGCAGCTGCAGGGCTGGGGGCCTGAGGGAGGTTAGGTGTGGGCTTCTGTAGATATGCTTTATGAAATTGGTATGTTTTCATGATAGGAGCAGGAATAGGGATTTTTTTTTTTTTTTCACCCTGGTCCTACCCCCATTAAAAGCAGTTTTTCCATTCAGAAATATCTTTATATTCAGGGACCGCTGTAGGGAGAAGAGCGAGGCCACATCTTACCTTTTCCTGACACTCCCAACACAATTGCTTCCAGTTCCCATAACTGGTTCTTCCAGCCCTGTGTGACTCCAGGTTGGGGACTGGCTGCTAGCCCCCGAGTCTCATGGAAGCCAGTATTTTCTAGGTTCAGTCCAGGCAGCATACACCCCCCCACAGTTGCCTGCAGGGCTGAGGAGAGTAGGTTGTGTTCCACCAGGGGCATTGCTCACCTCAGAAGTATCCGGTGAAGGCAAGCCACCTACACCGCCTGCCTAGGAACTGTCAGTACTGCATGCCAGGCCCTAGGGCAGGTGCTACCAGAGGAAACAAAGCCAGCTCCGGTGCTCACAGTGGCAAGTACCTCTTCTATCTCCTGGGTGACTCAGATGCAGAAAAGCTTTTGAGGCCTTTTTGCCCTTGTGCTGCCACCTTTTTGGTCAATATCCTTGACACGTCAGCAGCAGACTGGAATCTTCCCCATAGCAGGCTGCTCTGGTGCTGCTGGGCAATAGAGCCCTATGATCAGCTGCACTGGTGGAGGCGTAGGGCTGGGGTGCCGTCTTGCTCTCCATGCCAAGGTGCACTCCCTCCTACAGTGGGGCTTTGGAGTTCCAGATTCCTACCTCTTGGTTGAGAATTGCAACGGACGAGCCCTAAAGGCAGAAATAAAGGAAGCTGGACTCTCAGGCTGTCTTACTTCCGTTGCTGTGCTTGTTTGTGCCACAGCCTGTGCCACCCTATAGATAATAGACTTTTTGCATTATTAGGTTCTTAGTGGAGCTGGAAGATTGAAGTGATTGCCATTGAGTCAGTTGGAAAAGGTCCTTTTCACATGATCATTTTGGGGGCTGGGGATCTTTTGTCACATTCCCTGGGACAGAAGAATTTGTGCCACAATGAGCATGCATTTTTCCTGGGATAGCTTGGCTAGGTGGTGGTAGTGGGGCTTGGAGAGCGTGTCCGCGCCCAGGAGGTGACTGATATGGCCTGGGTTTCTTGTAGTTCTCAGACTCTGAGTGTGCCCGGCGGGCCCTGGAACAGCTGAATGGCTTTGAGCTTGCTGGTCGACCTATGAGAGTTGGCCATGTGACCGAGCGTCTGGATGGTGGCACAGACATCACTTTTCCAGATGGGGACCAGGAGCTGGATCTGGGATCAGCAGGTGGACGTTTGCAGCTCATGGCCAAATTGGCAGAAGGTGGAGAGTGTTTCTCTGCAGAGTGAAGAAGAGGGGTGGGATTTTAGATCAGGGGTTGGGACTTAATGCCAACTTCTCTTTCCCTTTTAGGCTCTGGAATCCAGCTGCCTACCCCAGCTGCAGCTGCTGCCGCTGCCGCTGCCCAGGCTGCTGCTGCCTTGCAGCTGAATGGGACGGTGCCCTTGGGGGCCCTGAACCCTGCGGCTCTGACCGGTAGACTTGGACTTGGGAAAGGGAGGAGGGGTTAGGGCCTGGAAAGAAGAAATGCTCTGTGCTCACTAACTTGTGCCTCTCTCTGTTGTAGCTCTGAGTCCGGCCTTGAACCTCGCCTCCCAGGCAATTGCCTCCCAGTGCTTCCAGCTTTCCAGCCTCTTTACCCCTCAGACCATGTGAGTCTCAGGGTATGGTTCAGTTTAGTCTTTGGTCGTTTTCTTTCCTTTAGCTTTCCCTGATCTCTTCTCCTTGCCATAGGTAAATCAGTGGTGCAGTACACTGCCTCCCTGTGCCTCTGGGTCCTGCCACTCCCTTCTCCACATCTACCCTTCCACGGCCCCTTCTCCATTTTGCGGACCAAGCCATCCTGAGCGCGTGGATGTTGACTGTGCAGGAATTGGGGCCACCCTTGAACTCAAGAAGAGCTCCTGCCCAGAGCCCCATTGGAAATGGACTCTGCTGAGCAAAGCCACTAGTCAAAGAGGACAGAATCTGCACCTGCGTTGAACACCTGTTTCTCCATGTATGTCGTCTTCTAGGATGACCTTCATTGCTCTTTCCAACCACCTCTTAGTGATTCCTCGGTTCCTCCCCTGTTGGGAAGGCCATAGGGCATTAACTGAAGGAACTAACCTCTCTTCTCTTCCTATACCTTTACCCTACAGTCTGTTGAGGAAAACCCTTAAGACCTCTGGTCCAAGAGGACTTTGGAGTCTAGTGGGGGGAGAGTGAACGTTGAAGGTGCTGGCTTGCTGCTGCACAGGTCCCAGAAGATGGCAAGGACATGCATGTTGTGAAGCCTGCCTTAGGCCTCACTTGGGGCCAGAATCGCTCCTGTGGGCTCAGCATCTTGCTGGGAGGTGTGGGAATGATCTGTCCTGCCAGGCATTTTGGATGTCTTAGGGGCGGGGCTTTCAGGAGTTTAGCGAAAGGTGGGATACCTTTCTAGTATCTTCTATCTTCTTTTGTATAGTTGTCCTTCCTCCCAGGTCCTTCCTGTCGCCCAGGATGGGAGGATGGAGAGGAGGCTGCTACTCTCTACCATTTCCCATGTGCCTCTACTGTGGGCTCAACCCCATCTGTTAAAGCTGCTCCTGTCCCCTACCTGGGCACATGTGAGCCCTTTTCACTGGATTTTATACCCTTGTGTCTGTGTACATAAAAATATATGTATATGCATGTGTACATACATGTGCATATGTACACATACACGTGCATATATGCATATAAACTTTGTATAAAAGGCAGGTTCCACTGTTGTGGCCGCTGCCCATACGTGTGTGGTCTCAGTCAGTTGGTGTGTTTGATGCTAATAACGTCTTATGAGCCAAAACCATGAATGGTTCTAGGGATAGAAAGCATTTGTAAAGCTTTTGTGTTTTTTCCCTTTATTTTAATTTTGTTTTATCTAACCTTGCTTAGAAATTAAAATGGATGGAAGGCACACACCTGGATGGAGTTCCCCATCTATCTGCATTATACTCTCCACCCCATGGGTCTCCTCCATATGTCTTCATCTTAACTATTTCCTTTTTTTTTTCCTCCCCACCCACCCATCCTAAATATTTCCAAACCTACCTTGTCATTGGACACATGAACAGGCTGTCTCAGTGCCCAAGGACAGATCTTGTCTTTCCACCAGATGGCAGTGTGACGGTAGTACATTTTTGCACCTTTGGTTAGAGGTGTTTTGTGATCTTGAGTTTAAGTACCAGAGAAGCCTCCTAGGATCACCAATCTTACCATTAGCCTCTCTGCCCACCTGTGGCTCTCTTTGTAGCAGAACTCCCAGTCCAGTAACCAGAGTGGTTGGGGTATCATACATCGGGGCTCCCCAGGCTTGAAGTCGGTTATTCCTCAGTCAGTCCCCTCAACTGTTGTTTTCCATATAGGACTCTGCTTGGCACAACACGGGCTTGGGACCAGTGAATTCCAGAATGCTGAGTATTCCAGGAATTGCCCTGAGGAAGGGGAGGCGCACATCTTCCTCCACCTGCTTTGTAAGGCTTATGACAAGGGGCCTGCCATAACTCGGCTTGCTAGGTAGGGACCAGTCTAGAGAAGAAGGTCTGAGGTTCAGGGGCAGAGTTCTGTGGGACTCCTCCATTCTCTACCAGTCTCTATGGCAACAGAATGTTAAGATTTTATTGTAATGCTAAAAATATGGATAATTGCTGTTCGGTTTTAATTTGTCAGCTCTTAGACTTCTAAGCAGAGCAAAGGTTTACTGGTGATACTAGCTTCTGCTGTTGCTTTTCACACTGAAATATTAGGTACTTGGCGCCTGCTTGTGGCAGAAAAGGCCACTGGGACCCAGAACTAGCTCTTGATCCCCCCACCATATCCCCCTCCCCCTCCCCGGGCTGCTGCAGCCTCAGCCTCCCTGCTCCTGGTGCCTTTGCCGCCACCCCCACCCTTTCCCTGTCCTGGTTTGCTCTCTTGGCCTGGGGGAAGGGAAGGAGGCTGCACTGATTTTAGGTAGTAGCTGGCTAGGGCCCAGTCCCCCTATAGTTATTGATTTGGCTGCTAATGCATCCTGAAAAACAGCGTGGACCATTTTTGTTAGTTATCCTGAGGCTCAGGACCAGGCTTCCTCATGGTGGTCTTGAACTTCTCCAAACTATAAATAACCACAGGCCTTGCCTGCCTCCCTGCCTTCATCAGATGGGTGCCCGTCTCTGTTTGGTTTCCTTTCGTTCCCATGCTTGCCTACTTTGGCCTGCCTTCACTTTGCTTTCTTTCAGCTTAGTTCTCCCACCAGTCCTTTGTTCCTCATACAGCTTCTTGCTGGGGGAGAGATAATGGTGGAAGTGAAACATCTAGGACAACTACTCTAGTCTTAACCCATATAAGGTGACAGCATCTAGTGGGTGACAGCCAGAGTCACTACATGTGACTCAGTGCCTCTAGTTACTCATTTCTGCATTGGGGGTGAGAGGAGGGGGTAGCAAACAGCCTCCTAAGGTAAAAGAAACCTTCCTGAGGCTCTGTTGCCTGGGCATAGTGGCTCAGGTGTGGGTAGAGGAGAGACTGGCCCAGATCCTCTTCTAGCATAGAATTGCCCAGCTGTCCTCTGTTCTGAAATGACATTCACCTGACTTCTGACTTATAGCCTATACTTCTGTCTTCTTTAAGGCAGTGGTATTTCCTCCTTGTTCTTTAAACTTACATGTTCTTAGAATTGGGTTTCTGCCTACGTCCTTCTTAGGCTCCCAACAGCCCCCAGATGTGAGTGACCAGAGGAAGCAGGGGTTTGCCATTTGAATCTTTAGTCCTAGAGGACTAAAGATTAGTCCTCCCTTGCTTAGGAGGAAGGGAACTGAGTTAACAACTTGAAGGGAGATGGTCATCCACAGCCTCTCCTTTCTGTTTATGGAAGGTGTGTGGCGAGAGTCTGGAAGTAATGGTTGGACAGTGAGGAGGGGCTGTGCTGGCTCCGAAAAGTGGGAGGTGGTACAACGGTAATTGTCGACACGGGCACAGGGCTGTCTCGGGTTAGGCATTGTTATAGTCACTTGGTGTGTACTAAGTTCTTAATCCTCACAACAACCCTCTCACCATCTTTGCTTTGTGAACAAGGAAACGGGATACCCAAAGAGGGTAAGTAACCTGTAATCGCGGGCGATTACACAGCAAGTTTGGGATTCCAATCCAGGCAGTCTAGCTTCGGATTCCTAGATCCTAATCTCAGCCTGCCCCTCTGAGAGCCAAGGCCGGGGAGTTGCTTTTTCTACCTCTGTACCCTGAGTTCTCAGTACGTCCTGCGCTTTTCCACTTCCATGTTTATTCATCTTGTTCTCTCTGCCTGTCTTCTGCTGGTCAAAATCCTGTCCTCTAAGACTCTGAAGCTTTGCTAGCTGATTTCCCTTTTCAGGATTGGTTGTCCTGTTACAAGTCTCATTCTGCCTTTATGTACAGTTCTTTGTAAACTCTTACTAAAAGATGATTACAGCCCGATGAGGCCAGCCACAGACATGTCTTCTTCATTATTGCTTTGCTTTGCACATATTAGGTGTCTGTTAATTCCCTCTCTGTTCAAGTCAGAGCTAAGCTTTCCGACACCCTTCCTTTCTGGCCTGCATTCCCTGGCATCCTCCATTCCTTCCTCACCCCTCCAGGAGAGAAGGCAGCTTTACTCTTTGGTGTTACCATGGTAGCCTCTGATGCTTCCTGTCAAAAAAGTGCTGCCTGCCATCCAACAGAGACTGATGTTTCCATGGCAACCAGGTGATGTGATAGGTGCTAGCTGGCTGCAGGAAAGAAATTCTGGTCTCAGAACTGGGTCTGAACCTTCAGGCTTCAAACATCCCTTCTCTTCCCTCCCAACTTCTGCACTTTGTATCCAGGACGTATTTGCTCTCCATGTGCTCTTGGTGGAGAGTGTTCTGTGAGCGGTGAAGCAGACCAACCGATTTAGAACATCTGGGAAGGTGGAGGCAAGGAAAGAGCTGATCAAAGCTCACTTTTAAAAGTTGGATGAGTTCTGTTAGCTTTCCCACATGATCTCCTCTCAAGAGCCCTTAAGGAGTTGGCTGCAGTTCCTGGAGGGCCATTAAGCAGTTATTTTTGAGGGCAGTGGTAGATGGATGAGGGGCCTGAAGACTGGCAAGGAGCCAGTCAGTGCTGGCTTGCAGGGAGGGGAAGCAGTGACCTTGGAAATCAGGGACTTGTCAAACTCTAGCCAATGTTCCAGAATGGAAGGCAGCTTTCAAGCATCGTGAAACCTCCTTGTGTAGAAAGGGAATGCCAAAAATTAGCCTTTTCTGAACTCCTGGGCCCGTCTAAGCCAGAGGGCTTTCACCCTGCAGCAGAACGGTCACACTCTGGAGCAACACCGTGGGCTGCAGATGGCTCTGCTGTCCGAGAGCAGTTGAGTAAACTGGGGGTTCGTCCCTCTGTGACTCGGACTCCTCATCTGTGAAAAGGGAGAGCTAACAGAGCTAACAGCAGCACCTGTCTCTGGGACGGTGTGAGGCTGAGATAAAACAGCCAGTGGAGAGGGCTCGGAACTTGAGATCTTGTTATTACTACTGGCCATCATTATTCCCACTTCCTTCCTGACCTCAGAATGCTCCGCATGTGCAGGGAGAAAAGTGAGGGTGAGGCAGTGGTGGAAGCAATTCTTCCTGGACTGAAGTCCCCTGCTCACAAGGTCCTGGGTCACAAGCAGCCTGGATTCAGAAGAACAAGTCCCACTGGTCAGTCCCTTTTTGTGCCTGAAACTGTACATCAGAGGGGCCGCTTAGGGGGCCCAGCCAGTTCAGTGTATGCCTTCGGCTCAGGTCATGATGCCAGAGTCCTGGAATGGAGTCCCACATTGGGCTCCCTGCTCAGCCGGGAGTCTGCTTGTCCTTCTGCAACCCCCCAACTCATGCTCACTCTAAAAGAAAAAAGAAAAAAATACATAAAATCAGATAGCCATCAGATGGCTTCAAAAAGTCAAAGTGATTCTCTCCTCAGCCACCCGGTCAGGTACCTTCAGCAGGACTCCTACCATTTGCTTTGGCCAGGGAAACCTCGAAGTGTTCCCTGCTACCACCCTTTGCTTAGCGCCCCTCCTCGCCTGCCACAGGTGTCTGCTAGCACCTGCCATCACTGCTCTCCAGGGCTCTGACGACTTCCTTTCAGAGAAAGATTTTAAATCAGCTCAGGTCCTCTAAAGACAAATCATAACTGGAACAAAAAAATGGAAAACTGCAGTATAATACCATCACTTGGGCTTCAGTTGCCAGTCTTTCCCCCTGTCCCCCAGTATTCCTCAAAACAATAAATCTAGTAATGGGGGTCCATTGGAGGCAAGTTGGACCTTTGACAGACACAGCAAGAGAGAACACAAGCGGGGGAGAGGGAGATGCAGGCCTCCTGCCAAGCAGGGAGCTTGATGTGGGGCTCGATCCCAGGACCCCGGCATCATGACCTGAGCTGAAGGCAGACGCTTAAAGACTGAGCCACCCAGGCACCTCATCTATTATTTATTTCTTTTCTTTTCTTTTTTTTTTTTTTGGATTTTATTTATTTATTTATTTACTTATTTATTTGACAGAGAGATCACAAGCAGGCAGAGAGGCAGGCAGAGAGAGAGAGGAGGAAGCAGGATCCCTGCTGAGCAGAGAGCCCGATGCGGGGCTCGATCCCAGGACTCCGAGATCATGACCTGAGCCGAAGGCAGCGGCTTAACCCACTGAGCCACCCAGGCGCCCCTATTATTTATTTCTTAAAGATTTTATTTATCTGTTTGAGAGAGAGCACGAGCAGGGGGAGGGGCAGAGGGAGAAGGAAAAAGTAGGCTCCCTACTAAGCAGGGAACCCAATGCGGGACTCCATCCCAGGACCCTGTGATCATGACCTGAGCTGAAGGTAGACACTTAACCGACTGAAGCACCCAGGTGCCCCTCTTTATTTTTTAAAGTAATCTCTACACCCATTGCGAGGCTCAAACTCACAACCCCAAGATGAAGAGTTACGTGCCCCAACAACTGGGCCAGCCAGGTGCCCCCTTAGATTTGCATCTCCGGGGTGCTGATGTGCCTTGAGAAGTTAGTAAGCTGTCAGGTACCTGAATAAGGGATCAGGACACGGATCATGGAAAAAAAAAAAAAATTCCAAGGCTCATTTCTATAATGTTTGACAAATTACAAAGATGTTTCCATTTGCATTAGTTCTCATGACCATCCTACAAGGTAGGTATTGTTACCTTTATTTTATAATTGGGAAAGCTGAGGTCCAGAAAGGAAGGGAGATTGAGAGTGACTCTGCATCCAGAAAATAGTGGGACTAAGTACTAATTAAAGTGCTGGCAAGGCTCCCATGGAGTCTGTATGGGCACATAGAGTCTACCAGGCCACCAAGCCATGGAGTATGTCTTTTAGAGTCAAATGGATAAGGGACACTTGGCTGGCTCAGTTGGCGGAGGGCGCAACTCTTCGTCTCGGGGTTGTGAGTTTGTGCCCCACACTGGGGGGTGAAGATTCCCTTAAAAAAAAAAAAAATGACAAGTACCTTGAGCATATCCACCAGAGAGCCACCAAGATGATAAAGAACTAAGAAGCAGGATGCTCTTACCTGGTGTTGGAGTCCCTTAACAACTGGGCTATACCATCCCCTCAAGTTTTGCTGCCTTCTTACAGGGAGAGTGTCTATCTCACACGCGGGACTGCCTACCCTGTCCCATGTCTCCTGTGCACTTGTTCACATAGTTTCTCCACAGGGAGTTTCTTCTTCCCCCAATCTAGCCTGCATATATCCTTTAAGACCCAGTTCCTAAAATTTGTCTCCAAATTCTGTTTCTTCATTCAGAATTCTTAGAGGACATGACATAGCTCCCAGATAGATAGTCAAACTGTGGTCCAGTTTGTCTCACATTTCCAGCTCAGTTGTAAGCTCCCGGAGGGCAGCAGTCATGTCTTAACCTGTATTTGTTTTTCCCATAGGGCCCAGTGTGGTGACTGGCATTTGGCAGTACTTGAGGGGAACAACAAGGATTTGTGAATGGATGTCCAGGAAAAATGGACTTAGAGTGATGTGGCTAGAACTATGTTAGATTAATAAGATGATGTATGCATGGGTGGGCTTTCTGGGAGTGAGGGTTTAACCCAGAAGACTTGTGAAATCCTCTTCCATGACTGGCAGGCTTTTAGAAGAGGAAAGACCCTGCCCCAGTCTCTCTAGAGAGGGTTAGATGCAGCGGGGCATAACAGCCCACCTTGGAGCAGAGCCCCCGAGTAGAAGGATGCCCTCTAAGATGCAGGACTGGCCTCACCTCCGGCCCTTCCCAGCAGAGCGCACACACTTCCTGTTGTGGGCCCCTGAGGATGCCTTGTGGGAGTGCGGGGCTGGGAGCGGGGAGGGGCAAGGGCTGGCTCCTAAAGTGGCACAGACAAAATTGCATGCTTAAGAGGAGCACGAGGGTGGAGAAGCCTCGGCTCTGGCCCCAGGACTCTTCGCTGATCTCTCACACCAGCAGATCAGCCCCCATGGGCGACTCTGTCTTGCCCAGAGAGAGGGAGAAGAATGGCTCTCAGAGAAGACCCTACCTTCCAAGTCTGGCGGGAGCCTGGCTTCAGCTTCTGTCTGTTCTGAGCTCATCCCTGTAGGCATCTGGAGGGAACGCACAGATGGGTTGGGCTGATGGGGCTGGCTGAGCGAGGGGGAAGGATGCTTATGGTGTGTGTGGCACCCCTCACGGGGGAGGCCCTGCTATCACCATCTTCAGGATGCATATTTGAAGCTTCAGACACATGAAAGGCACTGGGCCTTTTTCCTCATCTTCCCCTTTGGCCACATTTAACCATTGGTGGTAGTCTTTCCTTGGAAAAGCCCTTTTCCTGGGGCGCCTGGCCGGCTCAGTCAGTAGAGCATGCTACTCTTGATCTCAGGGTGGAGAGTGTGAGGCCCACTGTGGGCAGAGAGTTTACTTAAAAAAGTGAGCCCTCCTCTCATGGCAGAACCACCGCAAGTTCTAGTCCAGTTCTTCTGCTGCCTTGGTGGTGGCTGGGTCTCCACCTTCCTCATCTCCTTATCCCCAGGACCCTGTCTCTGGGCTCTCTTTCTCTGCAACATCAAGACTTTGTTTTAAGTTATTTTGTTTTTGAACAGTAATATGTGCCATTGTCAAACATTCAAACAGAAGAAGGATATACAATGGAAAGTAAACCTCTCACACCCATTCTCCATGCACCCAGTTCCCCATCCTGGCAGCCATCAGGACCATCAGTGGTTTGTAATTTGTTAGGTCACAGACCCCTTTGGCAACCTGAGGAAATCTGTGAACTCTGTTCTCAAATGTGCCACTGCACAAACACATCAAATTGTCCCACTTCACAAACATCACAGACTCCTAAAGCCCATGTGTGGTTTGAGGTTAAGGATCCCAGCCTGTATTGTATTCCCTTCCTTAGTGCCTCAGCATAATTTGTGGGTCCTGATGCAAAATAAAAACGCAGGGCTTGGGGCACGTGGGTGGCTCAGTTGCTTAGGCGTCTGCCTTCAGCTCAGGTCATGATCCCAGGGTCCTGGGATGGAGCCCCATATCGGGCTCTCTGCTCTGCGGAGAGCTTGCTTCTCCCTCTCCCTCTGCTGCTCCCCCTGCTTGTGCTCTCTCTGCCAAATAAGTAGATAAAATATTTTAAAAATAATAATGCAGGGTTCCTTGTTCAAAGACATTCAAGTCTGCAACAGCAGTGCCTCAGACCCAGCACGTGGTGCTGTGTGACTGCACTTCTTCCTTCTAGCTCCTCTATTACCATCTTTACGTGCATTATTCTCACAGCTGTGTCTCTCACCCTAACTTGTTCTGAATTTCAGGGAGCAGCTGTTCAGGGAGCTGCTGAAACTCCATATGGATGTTTTTCTACCATCTCAAATTCAAGGGTCTCCAAAATGGAGCCATTTACCCACATCCTCCTCTGCCCCTTAACTCTCAGTTCCTCACCATCCTCCCACTACCTGTGACTCCTGCCTGTACCCAGCTGCTCAGTTGCCAAGTTCCACCAATTCTGACTCACACTGCTGGTGCCTCTGCTTGCCCCCACCTTCTCCCTTGGGATGGCCCTTCATTACTGTCCATATGTATATGACTGTTAATCGTCCCCTCAGCTTAACTCTTCAGGCCTTGCCTCTGCTGCTCTAGTCCATGCACACCTCTCCCAGCCTCCTCCTTCCCAAGGACAGTCCCGATTGTGTCACTTTGATACTCAAAGACCTTTGGTGACTCACTGTCTGCAGGCTTGGGCACAAACTCCTTTGCTTGCCATTTAAGGTACTTAATTTAAAAGTAAGCTTCCAAACCTCCTACTTCATGCTCCTCTCCTATCCCTCCTCTTAATGTCCCTGAGGTTTCAACCCAACCATCGGTCCCCTCAAGCGGCCAAGTGTGCTTTTCTGCATTTTACATTATGAAGTGCCTCTGTTCATGGTCCCCAGGGTTTAGACCTGGCTATTCCCCCATAATCACTTAATTTCTCTGGCCCATTCACCACAGCACCTACCCCTGGCCCTGCCCATTGCTTCCCTTACATTTCTTCTAATGACCTTCTTCCTCTTCCTCTCCTTACTAGAAGGGGAACCTCAGATGCAAACTTGAATAAAATCATTAAGTATCAAGCAGATATGAGTGGGATCCCCGCTCTGTTGCTTACTGACCCCAGGCAAGTTACTTAAACTTTCTTCCACAATAAAAGGTGCAATAACACCTTATATAGTCATTAGAGAATGAATAGAGAAAGGGAATAAAGTTCAAAGGGTAATGTCACTATTCATATTATCGTCTCATAACCTCCCATGCTGAGCTGGTCCCCCTTGGCTCCTTCCCTGCTGTAGGGATCAGGAGACCTCTCATCCCTCTTTCCATCAAGTTCTGGGAACCTGGGTGGGGTGGAGTGGTCTGGCCCTCAGGTGCTCGAGTAGCTGTGCTGTAGTCTGGGGTGAGGGGAGCTGCTGCCTCTGCTCTCTTTGTTCAGACTCTAATGGCTCAGGCAGCAGTAGGCGTAGGCGTCCCCAGGGGAGGCACTGACAGCTTCAGTTCTCACAGGGCTTTGCAGGTGACAGTTGGGGTGGTGGGGGCCTGTCAGGGGAAGTGCGGGCCATCTTCATCATGCCCCAGCTGATGGGCCTCCTTGGTGGATGTGGGCCCCTCCTGAAACCAGCCCGGGGCATAGCTCGGGGTAGCTCTGGGTGCTAAATGTGGCCTCCAGCTCACTCTGCAGAATAAGGGGAGGTAAGGTGATGAGGTCTAGGGTGTGGATTTGGTCCCATTGTGTCAGGAAGTTACTAAACCTTCTAGCAATTCTTTGCTCCTCTCCAGGATTGTTTGCTCATCTGCAAAGGGACGAGTTAGACCCAGATATTTCCAAGGCCTGTGGCTCCTTTCTTAGACTACACCAGGACTAAAGTTCTGGAGCCTCCGTGGAGATTTAGGTTCCTTGCTCCTCTAGGCCTAAGCTTTGTAACAGTTTCCATCTACAACTACCCCTTATGCGGGGCTTTTGAGAACAGAGTCAAAATGAGCAAATGTAGAAAAGTTCTTTATTGAAAAGGGAAGGGTGGCTCCCTCGCTGGGGGCTCCTGGGCCCTGGCCAAAGGGGGCGGTGCCACCTGCTCAGCTCTTCGCTGTGGCCTCTGAAGGCAAAAGTCTGTCCCAACCTTACCTTTAATAACCTTAAAAGGGAAGTGCCCTGGTGTGGTGGTGAATCACAGAATCAACTCTGATGAACAGCGCTTCCAGGCCTTTGCCTTTAAGAAGTTCTTAAAGGCAAAGTGGACAAGTGCCGCAACTAAGAACCAGCACGTTTTAGGAAAAGTCTCAAAGAAGCGTCTCCGTGTCTTTACCTTTAAGGATCTCTTAAAGGTGAGGCGTGCTCGCGCGGAGTATAAAGGTGGAGAACTGGAAAGGGGTCTACGAAGCACTTTCCCTGTTCTCGCTTTTAGGATCTCTTTCCGGGAGAGGTGGTCAAGCCGTGACTTAATAATTAAGTCAAAACAGCTGGCGGAAGTATAGCCCCTCTGGCCCTCCAAAAGCCGCCTTGGCCCTGGCCGCAGCGCGTCCGCCCGCAGGTCTGCGTCCTCGCCTTCTAGGCGCTCTGGGGCGGAGAGGTAGCCGGGGCGCGCGCGGTGGTGGAGGGCGCTGGAGGAGACGCGGGCGGGTGGCTGGGCGCCCTGGGCGTTTTTGGTTTCCTAGAAGGTATTCGCAGAGGAAGCCGGACGGGGGCGGGGCAGGGCGAGGTGGGGACAGCAGAGGGCGCGGTGACCATGGCGACCGCGGTGACCATGGCGACCGCGGATCAGAGCACGGAGAGGTCGTGACACGACCTGGAGCGCTGCTTGAAGAACTTGGCGTTGCGCGGCACCAGGTTGGCCAGGAAGCGCTTGGCCTTCTTGGTGAGGCTCTCTCGGCGCGCGGGCGGCGGGGGGCCGTCTGGACAGCCCCACTCGGGCCGCGGGCCCCGGGCGCGGCTCCGTCCCCGGCGCAGCCGGATCTGGCGCACCGCGCCCTCGAAGAGCTCCCGCGTGTTGTGGTGCAGCGCGGCCGACGTCTCGATGTGCTTGCAGCTCAGGGTCCCTGCCAGGTGGCGGCCTTCTGCGGGAAGGGACGGGTTGAGGCGCCCGCGGGCTGCACGGGATCCCGGGCGGGGTGGGGGGTGGGGTCTGGGGGAGGAGGAAGTGCCGGGTGCCGTAGAGAGGGGTCGTGGCGTGTGAATCTCCAGAAACCGAGAACAAGGCAGGGATCACGCAGAGGACCGTGGTGGTGCGGAGGGCGTAAGAGACAGAGGCCTTGGATTGGAGAAGAGGGGAGGAGTGAAGGGAAGGCGTTCTCCGGCCCTAGGCGTGGGCACTGAGAGTCTGTCCTTAGCCTGCTAAAGGGTAAAGGCAATTGTTTGCACACCTGGAATGGTAAAAGGGCCCTGCGGAGAAGAGGCTACCTGGAAGGGAGAGATCTCAGGTATGAATGAGGTACAGGATACTCACCCTCCAGTGAGACCTCCCGGGAGCGGGCCAAGTCACTCTTGTTTCCCACGAGGATGACAGGGAGGTCGTGGTGGGGCCTCTCAGCTCGCAGCCGAAGTAGGGTCTCTGGAACTTTGGAGAAACTTCGCCGGTCGGTGACTGAGAAGACGATGAGAAAGGCATCCCCGGTCTGAAGGCAGTGGTCCCGCAGCCACCCCCCTGCGTCCCCCTGCATATAGGGCAGAGAGTGGTGGAATGTCAGGGTTGGAGGCAAGGGAGCACCTGTCCAGCACCTGCATCTCAAGGATGAGGAATCTGGGTGTGAGGGAGAAGCCACCTGCTTAGGACCATAGAGCTAGTTAATGGCAGAATCTGCATAACCTGGAGGGTGCTTGTGGAGGAGAGGGTGGTTTATAATGTGAGCCCCAAATGGGAGAATTGGGGACACAGGGTCCTAGACCAGGATAGCCCATCCTACTTTCTTACGCTTAAGCTCTTAGTTTAAAAATGAATACTCTTCATCTGTATGTAATCTGGCCTCTCATTTCTATGTAGTAATCATTTATGTTCAAATATTCACAAATCCTCACTTTCCCCCCCTTCCCTGGTATTCCAGAGCCCTGAGCTCTCCTCCTGTCAGATCAGAGTCTTCCAGGCTGGAAAATCTATGGATGGGGTTGGTTTGAAGGTGTTCAGCCTCGCTCACAGCTGCAGGGTTTGTCAAATTCAGATCCTCACTTCCCTCCGGGTCAGAAGATCCCAGAAAGACAGAGGCACTCAGTGCCATGGCATGCACATTGATGTGGGCCTCTGCTCTCTGAGATGATCCTTGTGAAAGGCCAGGTTCTAGAACATAACTGGAACCAGGGCCTGCAATGCCACCAGCCTTTGGCCAGACTCTGCCCCTCCCCAGCTCTCCTAGGTTCTTACCTGTTCCCAGATGTCATAAACAATTAGAGTCACTTCCTCCTTATCCACCGTGATGCGTCTTTCATAAGTGTCCTCTGTTGGGAAATAAAGACAGAATAGAGCCCATTAGGAGGCTCCCCAACACTTGTGAGACCTGGTAACCAGGGACCCTCTCCAGGGAGGTTGCCACAGAAAAGCACTGGAACAGCTTCTCTTAGGTTCTGGCCTCCAGGGAATGCCCTTGCCTTGAGCTCTTCCATCCCTGACTAGGGCTCCACAGGTGTGCCCTTGACCCTTACAGGGCTCCCCCAAATACCTGGGTTCTCCGGCTCATGAGCACTGTCTCCCTGGAGACCACCGAAAGTGCCTGCTAGGGTGCTCTTGCCCACGCCGCTCTCCCCTACCAGCATGACTTTGAAGATGCCATCCTTTTGGGTGGGGCCTGCCTCCCCTGAGCCCAAGGAGTCAGAGGAACCAGAGGATGAGGCTTGAGGTGGCCAGTCAAGTTCATCTATGGCCTGGGCGCGCCGCAGCTGGTGCTTGTAGGGGACAGGCATACTGCCTCTTCGTCTGGGGGCCCCTGGGGCAGGGGGTGGCCCACCCCGGTCCAACCCTGCCAGCAGCTTCTCTGGCTTCTTCAGCAGTGAGGCATCTGTTTCTGGGGGGGGGGGGGCAAAGAGAAGGAAGCTATGAGTGGGGGTATGCCTAGCCATCTGTAGAGGGCTCAACCCTGCCTGCTGTGGCCTCAGAGCCCCAGTGGATGGCGACAACCCAGAAGGAGCTGAGAATGTTTGGCCTGACCTCTGACACTGAACTCCCCCAGAAGCCTGAACTGTTAGGGCTCAAAGGAGCCGAACTAGAGGCTTACGCAATGTGGGTCCAGCCACAACATGTTCAAAACGTGCCCCATGCAGGGGAGGCACCTGTGTGTAGGCTTGCACGCCCACAGACCTCACGCTGACACACAGGCACACCCCCAGACTAGGCCTCTGGCCCCGGGGGGTTCCCCTCCTTCTACGGAGAGGCCCTGCCTTCTACTGCCTCCCTATCCGGGTAATCCCCCCCAACTGGGGAGGCGTGAAGGGGATGAGAAGCTGATGCTGCTGCCCAGGATCTGGGGGGGTGGTGGCAAAAACTTTGTGGGAGCCTGTTCCCAGGGAAGGGACTTTGCTAGTTATGATGTGTGCAGTGCCCCTGCCCCTGTGCGTGAGAAGAGCAGCCTCTTCTCATGGCCCCACGGGTGAGAATCTCCCAGTGCATAGTTGTGTGTGAGAATCTTTCTGGATCTCTGGCAGTCCCTGTGAGTCCCAGAGAATCTTCTGTTCGTGGTGAGGTAGAGGGAGGGAGGGAGTGGGGGAGAGAGTGAGAGTGCGGGAGCATGAGGCATGAGCGAGAGGGAGAGTGACAATGCATGGGTCAGGGTAACTGGAGGAAGAACGACAGACACAACAAAGGGGGATGGCGAGAGGCTGGAAATAGCCCAGGATCAATAGTTGGCTGGCAGCCAGGGCCTCCAAGAGCCAGTGAAACCCTTCGAATAGGTCCCCAGGGCAGCCCCCAGCCGGTGATTCCCAGGCTGGTGGGCTACCCCTTCCCTTTCCCTCCATCCCTCCTGCCCATCCCAGCCTCTTAGGAGTGAGGCTGACCTAGGGGCTGAGCACCAGTTTCCCCAGCGAAGCCCTGGGAGTGATGGGGGAGGGGGCGTTTAGGCAGGACCCCGGGGGGCCCCCAGCCCAGCCCTGCCTCAGTCCTGGTGTGAGCCGGAGGCTTCCCCACTTCCTAAGTTGCTCTTCCCCTTTGCTGTTTGGGTTCAGGCTCCGTCAACCCCCAGTTCTGACCTCCCCACCAGAGCTTCAGCCCCCACCCCCATGGTTTTAGCTGGAACCTACCCAACTCAGTCCTCACCTGGTGTGGGCGTCCCTGGAGGGGAGGCCTGGTGGCTGCCAGAGGGGCAGAGTGCTGTGGTTTCTGTGTCCGTGTCCATGTCGGTGTCGAGGTCCGTGTGCATCCGTGTGCGTGTGCAGCCCCGCGGCTTGCAGTACCCACTCCCTCACTCAGCAGCACTGTCAGCTTTTCCCTTAAATACCACCCCCTTGCCCTCCTCCCCCGACACCTGGGGAAATTGTCCCGCCCCCTGATGAGGTCACACATGCTAATGAGCAGTGATGTCAGCGGGATTCCCTCCTTTCTGCCCCCCTCCTTCCTTTGTGTCGCTTCCCTCTCGGAGCACACACACTGCGGAGTCTGGTTAAGACCTGACCAGAACGAAGTCAGAGGGGCAAAAGAGACAGGGGTTCAGAGAAGCTGGGTGAGGGTCTGGTGGGTAAGGGAGCTGAGAATGGCAGGAGGCAAGGACCCAGGAACTGGGAGGTCTTTCTCCAGGTGCTGGGACTGTGAGTCATTTTTCTGTGGACTTCCCGCCTCCAAGTCCTGTGTCCAGCTCAGAGTGGGTGCTCAGTGGCTAAATGGACGGGCTAGAGGCAGAAACCAAGAGATTTGGGGTCACCCTGGCACCAAGTTTCCCCATCATCCTCTCCTTCCCCATACCACCCCTTCTGGGCTAAGACCCACCACAGTAGCCATTTCCCAACTTGGCCCCTAGGCAGATGGGGGCTCTGAAGAGGAAGTGATGGCTGCCTGCTTCAGGCAGCTTCATTGGTCACTAGGTTCAAGCGGGTACAAACCATGGGGGGACTGCCTCCCCTTCCCTCCCGCACTGCAAGGCCCACCAACCTAGTGTTAATATGGGCAGGACAGAAGAGGGAGGTTGAGCTAAGCCCTCTAAAAGTTCCAGATCCCCAGTGCCAGCCCCGCTCTCTGTGCTCTCTGGGGCACCACCAGCCCTCTGGGCCTGCACAACGTTCTCTGCCCCTTTGTTAGAAGCCAGGATTGGCTCTGCTGCTCCTTTTCTGCCTGGGTCCATTTCCCTTCAGGCTCCAGCTCTTCTCTTTCCTTCCTGACAGGGCAGGCACCCACACAGACCTGACAGCTCCCTGGCTCCTCACACTGTGTCTGTTGCCAGGTGCTGCGCTAAGCTCCCTCCTGAGTTTTCTCCTTTCATCCCCATGACCTGAAGGCTCAGAGTGGTAGGTGTCTGTCCCCAGTGGTCGGTGCCTGTCCCCAGATGGATTGTGCAGCTGGAAAATGGGGACATCAGGATTCCCACTCTGATTTTTCCAATACCAAAGACTGTTTTTCGTCTCTTAAGTAGCCTTGTCTTAAATATTCCAGTTGTCTCCTATTATTGGTAATAATGGTATGTATATGTATAATAATTACTGTATGGTAATCTTTGGAGGACTCCTCCAGTGGAAGAGACATAGAGTGATCTTGGACTGATGTGCAGGGATCACTTATCTGGATGTGAACTACAGGGCGACGTTCAGGGTCTAAGGGGAGCCAAAAGGACTCCTGAGAACTACCATACTTTCGCACCTTTCTCAGTGGATAGACTCTCCAGTCCTCAGTCACAGCCCACTTGTCTTTCCTTACTCGCAGTTTCAGAATGTCCCTGCGTATCCCCATACTCAACATTTAGAGTTGCAAGGGGCCCCTGGTAGCCTGGCAAGGGAAGCAACACTTCAAAAAACTTTGAAAGCAGGCAGAAACATTTAAAAAGTGGTCGAAGGGCATTTGGCAAAAAGGAAAACCGCTTCCCTGACACTGTGACAGCCTCTGAAAGCAGCGTTATGGAGAGGCCACTGGTTTCTCTGAGGGATCCTCAGCGCTCCACAAATGTATAGCCTATTGCAGAAGTGCTGAAGAGCAGTATGCTTAGAATGATTTCCTTCCAAAATGAGTTTTAAAAGTTTCACACTGTAGGGGCGCCTGGGTGGCTCAGAGTTTAAAGCCTCTGCCTTCTGCTCAGGTCACGATCCCAGGGTCCTGGGATTGAGCCCCGCATCGGGGTCTTTCCTCGGCCGGGAGCCTGCTTCTTCCTCCTCTCTCTCTCTGCCTGCCTCTCTGACTACTTGTAATCTCTACCAAATGAATAAATAAAATCTTAAAAAAAAAAAAGTTTCACATTGTAAAAGGGTGAGCTTTGTGTATCTGGAAAATTCACTTAGGTGGTTGGATTCACTTCTAGGATATGAGATGAGAATAAGTCAGGGTATCGCAGACCCCAGCAGGACTCAGCCAGCTTTGGGTCCTAGGAGCAGGCTGGCTTTCACCTTGAACCACCATCTCTCTTGTCCCACTAGCAAGAGGTTGCGCACTGGCCCTGTCCCGGCTTCCTCAGGAATGGGAGGTCCTGTGGAATAGTGGGGGCAAAGGTAGAGATTTGGAACTGAACCAATCCAGGTTTCACTCTGCATCTCTGTAGAGGCTGGGTTCATCTCCTATCTCCTCAGAGAACTTGTGAATTGGGTTGATGATGCTCATGGCACAGCCTTGTTATGAGGGTTCACAACGCATGAGAAAGGATCTGGCACTCGGCAGGTTACCCAGCTCTCTGGTGCTCCCACAAAATTAGGTTGTGGTCCCTCTCCCCTTGAAGCCAGGCCTGGGGCTTGGTAGATTCTCAAAGACTGAATTCTGGTCTGTGCTGTTATCTCAGAGTCCCAGGCTGATCTCCATCTCGTGGTGAGAACACCTCTCTCCTCCACAGGCAGAGCCTTGGCAAGAGTCCCACACCCTGACACTGAGCACTTTGGATGGCGGTGTTTCAGTCCTGATAGATTGTGAGGTGGTCCCGTTTCTTTTCCTTAGGCCATGGTGCAAGTAAACTTGGATGACTGCTCCCCAAGGCCCACCTCTCCTGAGTGGATCCTCTTAGTTTCCCCATGCTGCCTGCACAAGGCTGATCCCCTCTCCACCGACCTGGTGTCCCACTCCCATCTTCTAGAGCATACACCCAGCACCTAAAGAAACTTCTTTGAGGCTCAGGAATCCAGACACACAGCCCTTCCCAGTGAACTCTACCCTCAGGTCTTCCCTCTCTGGCTTTCTAAAGCACTTCATCCTGAGGAGCTTTCTTTTACCTTAAGTCTTTCTCCACATTCAAGTTACAAATACTACCCAAGAGGTAAAAGGTCTGGAACAGGACAAGGGATGAAGCTATGGCCTGAAGGTTTTTTTGGAAGGCTATGAAGAGAGGAGCAAGGGAGAGGCACAGACCATTGATGGGGAGGTGTGGGAGGGAAATCAGCACTCCCTGCTTCTCTGGGCCTGACACTGGGGGAACCCAGGGACTGTGAGCACTCAGGAGGTCCCAAAGGGGCAAGAGTCAGCAAGGATGGGGATCTCTGAAGGCCCTTCCCCAGTCTCTGGAGAGTGGAGTGAAAGGATTCTGGCTCTTTCCCAAATCAAGATCCCATGATCCTATGACTATACCACATTCACCCTCTGCCACTCCTCTAGGCTCTTGCTCCCCGGGAGGAGGAAATATGCGGTTGGGGCTGGGTTGTGAGGATGCTGACAGGCTGTGATCAATAGGGCCCCTCCACCAGGGTGGGAGAGGCCAGGCCTGCCAGGAAGGGTAAGGGCGAGCCTGAGGGAATTCTGCTTCTGTGGGGGAATGCCTCCTTTCCAATCGTGGGGCACCTGTGCCCACCTTTGGATTTGGTCAAAATGATGCCAGCATCTTCACACCCCAAATGATTATGATTTTTCCCTTGATTTTTGTCTCGCCTAGGACAGACTGTAACTGCTTGGTGGGTGGGGTGCAGGGTGGAGGCCAGGAGTCGTGGCTCCTGTCTTCCTCTAGGGACATTCTGCTTCTGTGATCTGTGTTCTAGGAGAACTCCATAAACGGGAACCTTCCCAGCTACACAGCTCAGCTGGCTCACCAGACTTCTGGCCTGGCGGTGAGTAAAGAGGCTTGGTGCTTATGCCTAGTGTCACTCACTATAAGAGCTGAGCCCCAGGGGTAGGTGGGGGCTGTGGAGAGAGTTGGTCCCTAGGGTTCTGGGAGCTTTCTTACCCTTGGAGTGGTATAAAAGCCAAGGGTATGTGGTTAGAAAGTGAGTAGGAAGAGGGCAGGAATGGGAGGGCAGACCAGAGGCCTTCGTAGGGAGGAGCACAGGGAGGCAAACATAAGTTGAGATGGGTAGAGATGGGGCTGTGGTCATAGCTCATTTACAAAAATCTGAGATTTCTTGTTCTTTTATTTTCAACCTTGACTTGCTGGGCAATGACCTAGCTATGGGACAAAAGCATTTTTTTGTGCTCTTTTTATGAGCCAGGCCTGGTAGGAAGGATTATAGTTGGCAAAGCCTCAGGCTCTGCCCAAATCCTTCCCCTGAGGGCTGGAGGTCTCCAGCCAATTGACATTCTGGTGCTTAAAGGCCACTTTTGGGTAAGGGTTTGGTAAGGATGGAGTGTCCAGGCCTATAACCCTTTAAGAAATTTACTTTTTAAAAACAGCCACATGGGTGGTGGTGGTGTGGAGAGACGGTGGTGGTAGAGACTGCGGTCTTGGGCATGTGCAGAGGGAGCTCTGTGGGAGCCCTTTCCCTGCCTGAGGGATACCTAATTTTACAGCAGCTACACAGGGTCAATAGGAGGCTCACCAAGGCCCCTCAGACGGAGGGTCAGGGAAGGAAGTAGGGGAAGGGAAGCCGAGCTGCCCTCTAAAGGGCTGTCGTTATGGCGACCAGAGCCCCCATGGGTGCTGGGTCACCTCAGGCAAGCAGTGGCTCGTCCTCCGCTTCGACCACCCAGACCCCCGGCTCAGCCAGTGGCAACAGAAGCACATCATCCTCGTCCTCCGGAGAAAAGACTGTGCTGTGGGGTTCAGGTGGGGTTCGAGGTGGTCCTGGGGGCCGAAAGCTGGGCAGGAGGCGGCCTCGCAGGGCCTGCACCACTCCAGACAACAGTGACGGCTCTAGGGGCATGGAAGGCAGTGGCCCTGGGGCCTCGGAGACAGTAGTGGGGGCTGGAGATGCGCTGGTAGGTGGAAGGGGAGCCTTGACAGGCAGTGGGGGTGCCTGTTCCCCATCCTGCCCACCCACCGCCCCACCCTCACGGGCAGGACCTGTGTTGCCATCCGGAGACTCAAGGGGAGCGGAAGAAGGTGTGACCTGTGATCTGGTCTCAGGGCTCCGGGCCGGGGGATTGGCTCGAGGAAGCAGGCCCCAGCGGCGGAGCCGGCGCACCAGCCTGCGCACAGAGCGGCCCCGCTGGCGGCGGCGGGCACCTGAGGCACCCCCTGGAGTCATGTCCTGCCGCAAGATCTGCAGCAGGGAGCGCAGATTGCCGAGCACTGAGTTCTGCAAGGAGAGGAGGCAGATGCCAGGGTCAGTTGCGGGGAGGGCCATAAGCCTAAAGAAGGATGGTATGGTGGTGGGGCCTGGAAGGCTTGGAAGCAAGAGGGATGAGGGCTGGGAGGTCACTTACATCGTTAGGGTTCTCTGTAGGGAAGTCCTCTACAGGTGGGATGGCGCCCTGGGCAATGAGCTGCCCGTAGGAGGGTGGCGCCTGCTGCTGCACGATCTCAGCCTCCATCCGGGACAGGGGGGCAAAGATGCTGGAAGGAATGAGGGCTGCTCAATCACAGGTGGTGCCAGCCAGAGCAGCCTCTCTGAGCCCGGCCGCGTCTCTTCCCTCCCCACCCAGGCCAGGACAGCTGAGCTAGGCCCTGGCTTTCCCAGAAGTCCTCTAAGGTTCCCCTCCTTCCTTGAGATTGCTTTCAGCATCAAGACCTGTCCTCAGAGGAGCACCCTGTCCCCCAGCTGGACAACTCCAGGAGCCAACCCATAAGCAGGTCCCCAGAACATGTCCACGGTGCAGGCACCGTCACAGTCTCGCCCTGGGTCCCCCACTCCCCAATGGCTGGGTGCACCCTTACTGACCTGTACTCCTGCGTGCGAATGGCATAGAGCTTGCAGGTGCAGCCCAGGGCGATGACCAGCAGCAGGCCGCATACCAGGCTGCCAATGACGGCGGCTGTGATGACCTTGCGTGGTAGGGCGTAGGAGCAGTCCCACTCATCGCTGCCGTCGGCGCAGTCTGGCTGCCCGTCGCACACCCAGGTCTCATACACACACTTCTCATCCCGGCAGCGGAAGTTGCCAGGTTGGCAGTGCCGGCAGCGTCTCTCGTCCGCTCCGTCGGCGCAGAAGGTCTGGTAGTTGCAGCGGTCTGCAGGCAGGTAGCAGGCGGTGGCCCCAGGGGTGCCGGGCGCCCCGCAGGGGAAGTGTCCGGGTGGGCAGCTGGGGCAGTTTTCCTCGTCCGTGCCATCGGCACAGTCCCAGGAGCCGTCACAGCGCTGCGCCTCACTGTAGCAGCGCTCCCCCAG